CGGGGCGCCGCCGCCGCCCGGGACGGCGCGCTCGCCTTCTACGTGCTGGGCGCCCTGCCCGAGCCGCCGCGCAGGCTCCTCAGGTGCGCCCGGCCCGGCCCGGCCCGAGGGGGCAGCCCCAGCGGGGCCGTCGCTGCTGCCACCGCCGCCCTCCCTCTGGTCAACGGGGTCCGTCCCCTCCTTAAATGCAGCACGGTCTTGTCATGGCCCTCATGTGGAAACCAGAAAAAAATGATTTTAATCTTTTTTTAATATTTATTATTTTTATTTCTGGACCTTCACTTCTTCACTGTTTCTTGGGAGTCCTTTTTTCTCCTCTCTCAGCCACTCCAGCAAGATGGGTTACCAGACGTGGCTGCCCGTACCGCTGCCCAGGCAGCTGGTGGTGTTTGGCCTGGGGGACTGGAGCTGTTACTCGCCGGACACGAGCATCGCTGTGGATGTGCACGTGGCGGGGGACATCAAGCCGCAAAGGATTGGCAGGCTGGAGCCCTCCCGCAGGTAGCAGCTGCCGTCGGATCTCCTCGTGGTGGCATTTGGAAAGCGCTGCGGGCTGCCAAAGTCCTCGGTTCTGGTGCTGTCTTCCTAAAACACATCTATTAGTCCTTCTGCCAGTGGTGGGCTAGTGGAGCTGGTGCAAAACATCCAGTTTTGTGGAAGATGAAATGATTTTTTTGTAAGCAGAGCTGATCTTGGAAGAGGTCAACCTGAGAAACAGCCTTTCTGACCTATCCTTTCCCTTCTGGGCTTTATGAGGCCAGAGACAGCCCGTGGGACTGCATGAAGGGAAAGTGCAGCAGGACTCCGGGGCATAACCAAATGCTACAGATGCATGGTTTACGTTAAAACTATCAAAAATCCTATGGGAGAATCTATTTGGAATAAGAAAACCTTATTTAATTGCATAGTGTGACGTTTTGTTGAAGAGGGAATGTAGAAAACTTTCTTGTTTTTTTATAGTATGAAGGAATTCTCCAGACCAGTTTTTCCCTCACAATGCATAGGGAGCAGGACGAATCTGAGCTGATTCTATTTTATGTGACTGTATTTACACACATTATGAATGTTGTTTTATAGCTTCTTGTGATGTTTTCACTTTTTTTCAGGGCAGAATCTTTTTTGCTTAGGGTGTTCCCAGCTAATGTGGATGCAGGAATTCTTCCCTTTCCAGTCTTTCTTGTAGGCTGAAAAATTGATGGTCTCCCTGCAGGTCACTAGTTTGGGAAGGTGACTGGAGGACGGACATTTTCATGGCCTCGTTGAAGGACATGGACAAAGGCAGCTCTGTGAAGCTTGTCCTTACTGTCAATGGGCAGGTAAAAGACAGGGAAAAAAAAAAAAAAAAAAAAAACCACCACCAAAAACCTCTAGCTGTTTCTGGTCTTGGTTCCAGATCACTCCAGCTTTGTTGGTTCTGAGGTGTAAAACTGTAAAACACCCCAAATCCCATCTGGTTCTACTTTAATGCAGAGCCAATTCACACAGGTCTTTTAATGCATATCTGTGCCTAACTTATCATTCTTTCATGTTCCAGTCCCATTCCCTAAACACAGCTTTGCCAAAACACATTTTATTGTTGGGTTTTTTTTTATTTTTTTTTCTTCTAGTTTTTGTGTGAGATATGCAGCAGAGAGGGGCCCTTGAACTGTACTACCAGAACAATTGTTTTACCATGTTCAGGAACCCTCGGATTAGCATCTTTCAGTGTCTGCCTTTGATTTTCTGTGTAAAATACTCTGGTGCTGGACACCTGGGTTACTGCCTTGCAGGGGGTCTGCCCCTAGCCCTACATCTTTCTGTGCCCCCTTTGCAGGGGAGAGGCCAGTGCGTGTCCTTCTAGTCTCATGTTGCCTGTCTCTGTTTCTGCTGCAGCTGCTCAGAGGCCTCTCCAGCAGTACCCCCACCCACCCGTTCCTAGTGCCGGACACTATCCCGTCACCAGTGCTCCCAGCAGACGACGTGTCCCTCAGCCAGGACCTGGAGGACTCTCCTGCGGTGCGTGGAACACCACTGTTTCAGCCCGTCCTTACTATCCCCTGCCCTGCCTTTAGCTGCTCAGTTTGTGTCTAGCAGAAGTGCTAGTCTCTTAGTGGAGACACAACTAAGCAGGTTGGGGAGTTAAACATTCATTTCTGGTTAGTTTTACTCTCTGTGGAAATCCCTTTGGAAGGGTTGGGTTTACCAGCCCTGGGGGATATGGCTCATGGTGCTGGTTCCCCCTAGCCCAGGTGGCCGTTTCTGCCCTCACACTAGCTGTGCACGCTGCAGTCAGCAGCCTGCGAGCAGAGCATGGCTGGGCACGAGGCGGCGGCGGTGGCAGCTGGTGTTGCTGGCCTGCTGGCCCCTCAGGCTTGGCAGAAAGGCAAGCCTCAAAGTTGCCGTGTGAAACTAGTCTCTGTCCCAGAAATAGACTCACTGTAGCCTCAGGGCATCTCAGCTCTGGGGGAGAGGGGGTTCCTTGAGGTTTGAGTTATAGAAAATGGCTGGTTTTTTTCAGAGGTGATTTGACTGAAACTGTTGTCTTAGGTTAAAAATCAGAGCTCTGAGATGACTGCTGTAGTTTCCAGGCCTGGGAGGAAGGACTTTGCTGCACCACTGAGAAAACCACTGGTGCTCTGTGCCCTCAAGTCACCACCTGGCAATGCAGAGCCCCATGAGTCCTGGAGAAGGAGTCCTGTGCAGCTGAGGAAGCCCAGGAAGGTTTTATTTGAACCCAGAGCATCTGAGAGAGAACTTGATGAGGAAGGTAACTCTGGCAGCTTGCAGGAAGCTTTTACAGTGTTTTGTCAGTGCTGCTGCTGGGCAATGGCATCCCAGTATGTTTCTTTGTGAACTCCCCTGGGAATGGGCTATTTCTCATCAGAGAGGTGAAATACAATAGTGGCAGCACAATGGCAGCCTGAGGAACCAAGTCCTGTTCTCATCTGTCTTCTGTGTCTCCTCTGATGAAACTTCTGCAGACTTCTGAGTCTTGCACTGTGTTTGTTACTGTGAAGTATTTTAGTGCTAGGGGATGGTAGAAGGCTAAAAGGCTCGTAAGTCACAAAGCTCAGCACTTTCCTGGGATGTGTCTGTTTGCTGCTTTGTTTACAGGACTCTATCTATGTTTTCCTCTGCAGATCTGGCGGTTGAGGAGTTGCAAGGTGAGGAGCCACTCAGTAATGCCATTCACTTTGATGTCACAGGCCTCTCATGCTCGATCCTTTATCTCCCCAGTGATCAAGAACAGAATTCAGGTTATGGGTAATGTCCTGTCCATATAATTTCCCCAGTGTATGTATTTCCAGTGCTGCCAAGCTCTCCAGTAGAGCCACACCTGCAGGTGCATGGTCTTCTGAAGGGAATGTAGGACAGATTTTAATAAAAGTCTTTTCTAGTTTGCCCTGCCAGCTGGGACATGAAAGGAACAGAGTGGTGGGAGGAATGCCTTTGAGTCAGCTCCAGGCTTCTGGTTGCTGTGTCTCAGGCACTGACAAGCTGTTACTTGCCAGCCCTCCCCTGTGCTCTCAAAGGTAGGAGTAATGCCAGGGGATGCCCCACAGCTGGGAGATCTCTTGTGGGAGAGTTAATGGGATCCCAGGCTGCCCGCGCCCGCCTCTCGCTGAGGTGGGAGCCTCCGTGTCCTGCAGGCAGCCAGGTGACTCTGCTGGCTCCCTGTGTTAGTGATGACTCTGATGGTACTGCAGTTATTCCCCCAAACCACAGAAAATGTTCCTCAGGGAGCCCTGGTCACTGCCACCCCAGAGCGAAGGGGCCCAGTGCCTTTGCCTTCCCATTCCTCCCTTTGAGCTCCCAGCTGCCTTGTTCTCCTTTGCAGTGAGGGAAAGGGGTGTCTGTCTTGCTGCTGCTCACTGCCCTGTGCTCTCCCCTTCCGCAGGCAGTCCCAGCCCGCGATGGTGCCATGCCATGTGCCTCAGTGACCCGGGAACGGCTGTTCTGATCGGCGGAGAAGGTGCCAGCCAGCAGTCCTGCAAGGATGTGCTCTGGAAAATGGAAACTGGTGAGGAGTTCAGAGCTGACTGAGGCAAGGGGGCACAGGACGCAAGGACAACGTGGTGGCAGGGAGCCCTCCAGGGTCTGCACAGGGGAGAGGGGCCAACAAAGGGGTTGCTCCTCCCAGCACCATCATTCCTGGGCAATAGCTGGTGGTGGCTGATGTGCCACCAGGGAGGTGCCTGATGTGTTGGGTACGGGAATCTGCAATTTCTTCCTGTTGTTTGGCTACTGTGCTGTGCCCCTTGGGCAGCTTGACTGTGCAGTGCCCTGGTGAAAGGATTGGTCTCCTATTCTAAAGGAACAGGCTAGGGAAGGGGAAAAGTCCATGCTTATGGAGTAACCTTGATACCCACCCCGCCCCAGGGCTGATTTCTGACATCTGCTGGCCCAGTATGACCATGTGTCCTGATCTCTCAGCTGGGACAGGTGCTGGATGGATTTTTCTTTGTTGTGAGTCACTCAGCTGTAACCTTATCAAGTTTCAGATGCCTTTCTTTTTAACCACTTCCATCTTCTCTTGTCCTTTCCCTTTCTGCATTTCTGCTCTTTATTGATCTTCCTGGTCCCTGTGCATCCACAGGTGCTGCCCCATGCTCAGCTGACAGTATGGGGTGCTGCATGAGGCTGTTGGGCTGTATGTGAAAGCCCTCGGGGAGCTAAGTGAGAGGTTCTGGGAAGAACTGGTTGATTTTTAAGGGACCGAAGCAATCACACAGCTTGCAGTCTGTGTGTGATGACAGATGGAGAAGTGTGAGGTACCATTCAGTGCCCTGCTGCTTTCTGCACCTCACTGATAATCTCTCCCACTTTACTCTCCCTCTGCTCGTTAGCAGCCCTTTTTACTCTTCCCACAAAAGCATTGCTAATCTCCTCCACCTCTGAATTGAGGTGATGAAGGCAGAAAGGTTTCAATAAAGACTTCATGCCATAGAGAAATTGAGAGGATTCTAAAGAAATCAAGAGGATTTTTGGACTCGCTCTCACCATCTGTCTGGCGTTGCTCCCAGACAGCGATTTCTGGTTTCCAGTGGATTTCCAGCTAGGAGATGCCGTGCCCTCAGGCTTGCGCGGCCACACTGCTACCTATGACCCAGACACCGGGCGCATCTACATCTTTGGGGGCATAAAGGAGGACAAGGACTACAGCAGCATCTACATCCTGGACACGGTCGCTTGGAAATGGCTCCTTGTGGCTGTAAGTATTGCAGCTCTTCTAAGATAAAAGCATGGCAAGGGTGGGAGGGTCTGCCTTGCTCTTGAGGAACAGTTAGATTTCCTTGGACCATGGATGTGCCTTTATCTTTACTCCAGCAGTCTTGTTCTACTCTTGCTGCCCTGGGCTGTATGGCCTTCTTATGTATGTCATAGCCAACTATGTTGAAAGGCCATAAGCTTGGTGGTAACCAGGTGCTGTGTCTAGAATGAATGGAGCAAGCTGAAATAACTGGTTGCTGCAGGGTGAGACACTGTACAAGTGGCAGAAGGAGAAATGCTAGTTCTGTATGATGCTGTTGAGAGCTGCACTGGATGTTGAGGGAAAGAACTGGTGGCCTCAGGTCAGGGGGCTGCTGTGAGCATAGCAGATCTCTGAGCTCTTCAGTTTGCCCCTCTAGTCCTTGCTGTGGACCCCATCAGCTAGGGGTTATCCATCTTTTTGCTCTTACAGAATTACTGTGGGATGAGATCTTGTTTCTCTCTGTCTGCTGAGCCAGTTGGAATAGCAGCTTTACTCCATGCTCTGGTCAGAGCACTGTTGTAGTGCAGGGTGTGCGAAGGACACACTGCCTGTGTTGCAGAGATCTGCCTGGGAGGCCAAGGAAGAGAAGATCAAGACTTGCTGAACTCACTGTGTGGTGTGGGCACCTGTCCTGTGGGTCACACAGCAATTAATGCACTTCTTTCTTGTGTTGTACTTTTCCCAGGCTAAAGGGAGAATGCCAGTGCTAGCCTACCACAGTGCCATCATCTACCGCAAGGAGCTCTTTGTTTTTGGGGGGGCTCTCCCCAGAACGGCGTCACTGGCCCTTGGACCCTGCAGCAATGCACTCTATGTCTTCAATCCAGAGTATGAAATTTGGTACCAGCCCATCTTGGAAGGGGAGAAGCCTCTTCCTAGACTCGGGTGAGAGTGCTCTTTTTCCAGCCCTCAAAGATAAAGTAGGAAACCTCTTCCTACCTTTCCTTGCACCCCAGTGCAGCTTCCTAAATACTGATTGTTTTCCACAATCCGTGCCTTAAGATGAGATGTAACTTCTAGGGCTTCTCGTCAGAAATCTTGCTGAAAATCTATCTTGAGCTGTAGTAGTTGAGGATAGAGGCGTGTGTAAACTGCAATTGTTGAGCCCATTAGCAGAAACCAAATTAATAAGAGGAGGGAGAAAAAAAAAAGTCAGTTCCAAAGTTAATGAATATGCTTTGTTCATTCTCTTCTTCTCTACCCAGGCATTCAGCTACTCTACTGGGGAACAAGCTGCTAATTTTTGGAGGTCAGAGGACCTCTATCTACCTCAGTGACATGCACGTCTTGGATCTCGGTAAGAAAGTCTGAGCCAGGAGGCTGCTTTGGAAGGCACATTCTGAGTTGAGGAGTGAGGAATGGGGCATGTGGGATGCGAATGTAACAATAATGTTGTAGAAGACATGACTAGATGGAAAACTGTGGTGCGAATGGACCCTTTCTGGAGGCAAGAGGGGAGGGAATGGGTAAATAATAATAGTAGTTATGAGGCTGCAAAATACTGCAGAAAGTGCCACATGGGTGTTTAACTTTTCTTTTCCCCTACTACCAGGTTTCATGGAGTACACACCAGTCCCTGTCCTTGCAGGACAGCCTTCTGCACGCTGGTAAGATACTGTTGCAGGGCCAGGAGCTCTCCTCGTCCTTTGAGGTACCTCTCTGAGGCTGTGTTTGATCACAGGCACCTTTCAGACCCAGTTGCAAGTCTCTGCCCCACTATTACAAAGGCAGTGGGTGGTCCCTCTGTTGTGGGACTGAAAATTCTGTGCTGTAGCTGCTTGCTGCTTCTAAAGTTTATAGGGTTTCAACCCCTTAGAATCCTTGTAAATCTGCTCCCTCAGACTAGGGGAAGTTATCTGGTGCGTCAGTGGATTATATTTGGGGTTTTTTTTTTCCTTCCACTCATTATCTTATGCTGTTATGTTATACCTTGAGTGTAACAGATGCACAGAGAGGAAGAATCTCTTGACTGCTGTCCCCAAAGATAGATAGTTGCCCACTAGAAAACACAAGTAACGAACCCAAAAAGTATCAAACCAAAGCCCACCTAGCCTGCTATCTCTCCACACAGAGCAAGGCACAGATGTTGTGATAACTACTTCTGAGGTAGCGAGGTGCTCTTTGTGTTTATGACCTGACTTGTACAGAGAAGCAGACAGCACTTCTAGGATTATTCAGGAAGTCAGGGCAGAAGAGGAGACCCTAACTTCTATTCATCAGGTTGAGCCCCCAGCCTGCTGGGGAAATCTGCCTCTGCCCATTGCTCCTTGAGGAGGATGAGGCAACCCCAGCAGTTGCTGTAGTCACCATTAGCCCTTGTCTTGGTCCTAGTTTCCATGCTGCTATGGCTGTGTCGGACCAGAAGGTTCTGATCAGTGGAGGCTGCAATGCCAAGGGTGCCCTACAGGATGTGTATGTTTTCCACCTAGGTGAGTGGCTCCCCATCCTAATTTGCACACCTGAAGGTGGCTCTTGGGTGACAATGGTGTTTCTGAACACCTTGGCTCATCCATTTGGTTCATACCTTCCATGGAGGATGGAGTACTAATAGCTCCTTTCTGCTTCAGACACCCTTACGTGGAGCGCGTTGATGCACCATGACCTCTGCTCCCTGCCCCGAGCTGGCCACACATTGCTTGACATGACTCCTGCTCACCTGAAGGATGTGGACAAGGAGAACAAGGACAAGCATAACCTGCATACAGTGTTGGTCTTTGGAGGCTCCAACTGTGCTGGGACCTTCTACAACAGCACAGTCAAGATCCACTTGGATCTAGAATAATGCAGAGGTCTGAGAATAAGTCTGAAACAGCAAAGGTTCTTTGCTGGGGTAAATACAGGCAAGGATGGCAATAAATTAATCTAAGCAACCCGACAGTCCAAGCTTCTATTTCAAAGTGAATGCCATCCTCTGTGTAAGAGGCCAGTGTTTGTAATACCTTAATGAATACTGTATTTCCCTCTTGGGTCTGCTGGATATACAGCATCAGTGTGGCAGAAATTCCCTCCCATATTCCCAGCTTGGCATCTGGATCACCTCATCCAGCCCCCCCTGCTCCAGCAGGGACACCTAGAGCACGTGGCACAGGGTGGCATCCAGGTGGGTTTTAAAGATCTCCAGGGAAGGAGACTCCACAACCTCCTCGGGTAGCCTGTTCCAGGGCTCTGTCACCCTCACAGGAAAGAAGCTCTTCCTCAGTCATAGGTTTTTGGTTTCCCTTCTTGCCCTTCAGATTCTTGGGCTGGCGTCCCAGGGTGCCTTAAGCTGTGAAGGTAACTCTGGTGTTTAGTTTCATTTAGGATGAGTGGAATGGGATTTGCTTGCTGCCACTTGGGAGTTCCTCCCAAGTTCCAGCATGGTTCTGGCCTAAAGGGAAGCCGGGGTAGGGTTTCCTTGGGAAATGGTCTGCAGCTGAGGGCTAGGAAAGCACCTAGTGCAGAGTCTGAGGATAGAAAAAGGTAGAAAACACCATTGTTTTCAGTGTAGGGTGGTTGTCTTTTCTTGGTGTGGCTTGATCCCCTGTCTTTGCTCCATTTAGTAATTCTGGGAGGTGGCTGCTGGACAAAGGGAAGGGGTACAAACTGGATGTTCCAAATAGTAATTTTCCTATCACGGCAAGGGGTGGCAGAGTTGCTAACAGCTTGCTCTTGCAAAAACAAACATGTCCAACAGTAGCCTTTTCTGTCAGCACCTCTCCCATATTGTTTAGAACCACAGCATTGATAATTTTGCCATAGCTCTGCTGCAGGTGCAAGGACAAGCAGCCTTTCTGGGTGAGCAGCACACTGCACAGTTGTCCCAATGCTCTTTCCATGGCCGGTGGAAAGGAGAAGCCTCTGAGGGGAGTCTGGAATTGGCTAGATGTCCCAGAGATGTTTTTGGCTACAATTCCCAGCCTGAAACTATACAAAAGGGTCTACTGATATTTGTGGATGCTTCAGCTTTAATCTGTTTCATGGAGGGATATGAAATAGAAATACTTATAGAAATACAGTCTGAAGTAGCTGCAATCTTACCAGCACAGTGATCACTTTTTTGAATCATTCAGGTTCCTTCTGGAACAATAGGGCTCTCCCTCACTCCTTCCTCTCCCCACATGATAATGATACATGAATATTTCCTGCTGGCACCTAAATCCTGTTCAGCCTTTAGCTCGTGTCCTCATTGCTGTCCCAGTGCTCTTGATTTAGTGGGTAAAAGAGCTTTAAGCTCGCAGTTCTGCAGGGGTGTCTGGCTGCCGGGCTGGGTGGCTGACTTTGAATGCCTCCAGCTCTAGCAGAGCTTTGTTGATTCTCATGATTGTGGGATATGGAGCCAGGTCCACTTTGTATCTGCAAAAGATGAAGAATTTATCAGGGACTCACAGCTGGACAGCCACTGCAGCAGTGCCTGTTAGGGCAAAGCACTGTGCTGTATCTGCCCAGTATGGCAGAATCTCACAGGTTGGGGTATCTTTGCATTAAGAGAAAGGTACATTTTTCTAAGTTTAAAAATAAAAAGCTAGAAGAAAGCCTAGTTAGCTTGTATGTCTTCACTAGGCTTTTATGCATAGTTCAGCATACAGTAAGATTGCGCTGTGCTTTCTCCCTCAACAATGATGATGTGGGAATTACACAGACCCTTCCTGCATCCTCAGGTTTGTGTTCTCTACAAATACAGTCCTATTGCTCTTTCCCCTCTGTCTGCAGTGTAAACACAGAGCAAAGGGGAGAGAAGATGTGGAGCGTGGACAGCCTTAGTTTTTGAAGGGACAGATTAGCTTTCAGTCCTGGAGCCTCTGGGAAGACTGTTCAGCTTCTTTTTCCTGAGATCCTTCAAAAGATGCAGTATTTAGGACAAAGAAGAAGACACAGAGAATAATCTATAATGGGACAGAGCATGCAGGAAGGATGTGTTCCTACCAAGTGCAAGGAACAGCAGAGGAAAGGTCAGCTTTAACAGCCCAGCACATAGGATAGCTTCCACATAGGGATGTGCTGAAATGCACATCAAGCTTAGCCTTAATTACCTTTCAGCATTGAAAACTTGAGGCACCAAGCACAAGTCAGCCATGGACACCTGAAATGGAGCATAGAAAAGAGGTTAAAATCATCCAGAGCCTGTCCCCTCCACCCCTCACTGTAGCCACAGCCTTTGATAGCACAACAGTCAGGTTTGTGTTGTTGTTTTCTTTACAGAGCTTTTTAATGGCTTCTAGAGTGGAAAAGGTCAAAATGTCTCGTGTATGATCTCTCCCTATTTTGAAGTATGTCCATGTTGAAGTTGGAGAAATAGATCAGAAAAATGAGACAACGTGTCCAAAGGTCCAAGAGCTTAGAATTGACCCTGTTTTAAACTAAGCTTTGGCGCTATTGAGGGGTGACTTAGAACTCCAAATCTCATGAGGATGAAAGGTATTTAATCTGTTATCACATCCTCTGGTGCCAGTCAGGTTCCAGATCCTAGCTGTACAATCTGGCCCTCAGCAGATTACAGGCAGGGACAAGGAAAGATCCCATAACTATCTGAAAGCCAATAATGGCCCAAGTAGAATCCATGCAGCTGCTTTCTTAGTGGAGAGGCCACAGCATGCAACTCCAGGCATAGGATGGAGTCTGTCTCCACAGTTACCTCTGGAAGATGCAGAGGTTTCTGGTTCTGCAGTGGTGTGTGACACTCAGCTACTTACCTCATTGCCCACACAGTAGCGCCCAGCAGTGTGCTGCAGAATCTGCTCCAGCGCTGCCAAGAGAGCACATGGAACATGGGGATCAGGCACAGGAAACTCATTTCCAAGGCTTAATGAAAGCTGCATGTGGGGATGGGGGGATGCTAAACATCTCTGAAGGTGGGAATTTGAACAAGAGTCTTTCAATGCTGAGCTGGTAGGCAAGAAGAGCAGCAATCTGAATCAGAACTGAGAAAGAACAGAAATCTTATCACAAAAAGATTATGGAATCTTTAGGATTGACTGAGCATGTGGGACCTGGGATGATTTTAGCTGCTTCAACCAATGCAGCAGTGGAGGAGTGTGGAGGAGTATAAAGGTGCAGTTAGCTTGTGTCTGTCCATAAGCAAAGTTGGATCTGCCATTCCAGCACATAGCAGGGAAAGGGTTTTGTGGAAAAGCACCCTAATTTTCACAAGGACACAAAGAAATGTTTTGCTATTTGCTAGATTCTGGAGGAATTCTGCCAAGAGACAGGATTCTTTTGGCTTAAGGCAAAAGTATATTAATATAGGAACTTAAGTGCAAAAGGCAGTAGCCTGGAAGCAGTAGGGAGGAAAGGAGTGTTGTCAGTCTTCATGCTTCAATATAATGGTGTTCTGGGCTTTTCCTCTTTGATACACAGCAGCAGCACTGCATGTGGACAAGCTTCTCTGGACAGGGAGAGCCTGTCTTTCCAACACGACAGGACCAACATACCAGCCTAGAAAGGCCTCTTGTTCTGTTTGAGGACAAAGTAGGAGCCCAGTGACACAGCATGCAGTCCCACAGTTTTGAACAGTCAGTCAAAGTGCTGATTGCCTCAGATGTGGCACTCACCTTGGAAGCCAGACTTGATGCAGTGCTGAGCCCATTCCATTTTTTTCTCCCCGACTCGTTCCAGGACACTCAGGTTCTGCCAAAGTGAATGATCTGCAGGTTAGACCGACTGCTGTGAGCTGCAGCTTGCTAATGCCTCACTAGAATGGGGAGAGGGGAGACTAGGAGGGGCTCAGCCTTCTGGGTTAGCCTTGATCCATCCTCACTGAAAGAACCATTTACCTGGCTCTATCTCTCTCCTGGAACTGTCAGAGTATTAGGGTTCAAAGGGACCTCTGGAGATCATTTGATCCAACCCCTCTGCTCAGAGCAGCGTCAGCTGCAGCAGGCTGACCAAGACGCATCCAGTCAGGTTTTGAACGTATCCAAGGGTGGAGACTCCATAGTCTCTCTGGGCAACCTGTTCTTGTCCTTCTATTACAGCATCTTCCTGTGCTGTAATTCCTGATGTGAATCATTCTGTCTTGTGCTCTTGAAATATTCTAAGCCTTGCAGTGAAAAACTATGGGTTAAGCTGGTTCTGGAAAGAATCTTGAGGTCCTATAGATTTTTCTTGTAGGAAATAGGTATTCTTTTCACTAGGGTGTTAGATTAAGCATAGATTTCATCTGCTAACACAATTTAGGTCACAAACTGCTGGAAACCTATACTGTTTTCTTATTTGCATGGATATGAGAAGCAGTACCTGAAGTGGCTGAATGCCGGAGACGATGTGATCCGAGATCATTCTGACTTGGGCTCTTTTCTTTAGATCTTGGGGCAGGAGCCTGGGGTTAGGCTGGGTTTCTTCTAGGTAATGAATTATAGCTAGCTGCAATGAATAAAGACATAAGGAGAATGGTTTTGGAGAGTGGAATAAAAATATATGGCCTAAATACATAGGTCCTAATTGGTCCAAAAGAAAACAACTGCTTTTGAATAGAAGCTGTTATCAATCTAAGACACAGAATATCCTCTTCGATAGCTGCTTGAGACCTTGTAGTTTAGCCCAGCAGTGATTTAAGACAAACCATGGTACAGCCATCTAAGACGTTGCAAACTGCTCAATAAAAGGTGGGGTTTTGAACCAAGGCTAAGCAGAATGCCTGACAGCAGTTTCTCAGCATGGAGTACATGCTATTTCTGACCTCAGGTAGAATTGTTCTCGTTGTCACAAATACCATCTGTTCTCTAATGCACAAATCTGGTGCTCTGGGGGAAGAGATGGAGCAAAGGCTTTCCTGTCCGCACAGCAGTTTGGAATGATGGTTAAGATGTATCAGGTAACTCACCGACTGAGAAATGGTGATGCCATCAATTTTCAAGGTTGGAACTTGCTGCATTGGATTCAGAGTCTTGTATTCAGCAGAATGCTGGGGAAACAAACTTGAGATTATTCTATTGCAACCAGAATTTTTTCCTTTTCCTCATTTTCTTTCCCTAGAATCTCTCATTCATTTTTTTTTAAACCCAGCTCTCCCTTTCTCTCCATTACCTTTTCCAGGAAGTTATGTTGTGTTATTAGCCTGCTCTGCAAGCTGCCACTGGGACTCTGGGATCTCTATGCAAGGAGAGACTGCCTTGCCTCTTGATAAACAGTAAAACAAAGTTTGAAGTGGCTGGTACTGTGGCAGTGTCTCAATTAGTACTGTAGTTCCCCAGCACTCTCGTAGTTACACACCACGTTGAATGGTACTACCCACGCCATGACTCCCAGCTATGGCCCCCATGAGAAGACTTATCAGGAGGGAGAAGCCTGTTGAAAGTAACAAGTAGTTACCAAGAGGCAGTGAGGAATTCAGTGACTTCAACTTTCTAGTGCGCATCCCTGTTCTCCTAATGATCCTGCATTCATGTCCCCCAGAAAGACGAGCGGTGGAGGCATCCTTACCTGCTGCCCCCCATCCTTCAGCAGGTTCACTGGCACCTGGTTATAGGCAATTCCTTTGAGAGCCAGTGCTGGGGGGAACACAATGCACAGCTTCAGACAGGCAGGCTGAGACCAAGTTCAATTTTTTAGAAAAGAGTTCAAGGAGATGTTACCTCTCCCTTTGAAAAAAAGGCCATCTGTAAAAAAGACTTATCTCTCAAGAGAGGGGACTTGTGTCTTCTGAGAGGATGGACCAAGGCATCAAGGGTCAGCCCTGGCAAAAGCAGCTGTTCAAAACAAGCTGTGTTGCCCTGTGCTGCACAGCTCCTCCTGAGGGGCTCTGTGCTCAGAGCAAAACCTTCCTGGAGAGATTTTCTCAGCTCGCGCAGTGACCATGCCCAGCTCTGCTGGCTCTTAAGACCCAGTACCACAGTTTGAGGCAGTATCTGTACAAGCAGAGAGTGTAGGACTAGGAGAAACAGCCATCTGCATCATGCTGGATTTGCAAAAGCAGCAATTCTAACTAGCTGCAGAGACAATCTGTAAAATGCACCAAGGGGAGGGAAAAATCGTTCAAAGCCTTTCATGGGAGGTTTGTCCACAGGAAAGGATTCAGCTGCTTCTCATGGAGTTTTGCCTAACTGGGGAGAATTTTGCCCCAACAGTGTAGCCCCCTTCTCCTCAGCAGGTTCCCATTCCCACTGCTACTTGAATTTCAAACAGCTACAGGAAATATCCTCAGCTTCCCATTAAGCTGTTTTCCTCGCCCTTCCCTCAGCTCTAGGTGAGCTGTGGTAGTTATTCCCTTCCTCCCCACTCCAGGAGAGCTGGAGGAAGGGCAGAGCACTGTTTGAGGTTCATGTTTGCTGATTTCTCTTTTAATAAGTCACTGAGTAATTGGGTTACTGAAGGAGAGGGTGCTGCAATAAGAGTGAAACAGGCATCGAAACTGGATCTTACCAATTCTCACTCTCCAAGAGCAGGAACTTCGAAAATAGCTGTAAAGTATCGGCTGAGAAAAGAAAGACAGAACAGGTGATTTCATTGTGGGAACACCAGAGATTTTTAAGGATCACACAGCGTGAAAAGAAAGCATTTCAGGAACTGTATGATACAGGAGATCAAGGTCTTATGGGAAAACTCCCCTTTTCAAAGTGACCATTTAAGTGTCCGTTCCATAGCACTATTTTTCATGCTGTCCTCTGAATATTGGTCACATCTGCTGTCCTCAGCAGCATGCAGGCTGTGCTGAAACACCTTCCTCCAAGGCTCCCCTCTTTGTCACTGTCTGATGTTGCCATCTTCTGCCCTGTCACACCAAGCAGCTGCACTGAGGATCAGGGTGTTCTGCACCATCTTTTCCAGCCCGGCAAGGCCCTTTGCAGTGCGGAGGCACCGCTGTTCCTGCAGGTGAGGGCCGGGGCCTCTGCTCCACCTGAGCTCCGGCACCGGGGCAGCTTCCTCAGCCACTTCCACCCCATGCAAGGTCTCACCTTTTCAGACGCCATGGTCTATGTGTGCAATCCCCTGCTGAGACTAGAACCACCGTGTCCTTGCCCTTTAAACACAGATGGGGTGTGGGGGAAGGCTTTTCTCCTGAAGCCAATGAGAAATGGACCATGCCCCCATATCCCTGTCCAGAACACATAGCAAACAGAGCTGGATGCCAGCAGCTGAGTGGCTGTGTTTAGCTGCATCCGCATCCGTTGCAGCCCCAGCTCAGGTATCACACCTTTGAGGGTGGAATCATATTTAGTAATCATTTATTTCTCCATCTTTTTGTCCAGAATGAATAAAATACCTAGTCATGCTCTTCTCAGTAGCCAAAGCAGGAATGCAGCTGTGAGGAACATGACAAGGAAACTGAAAGAACTTCTGTTTCCCTAGGGAAGGACAGGCAGCTCCCTGGACTGGGGCTGCCTTCGCAGGGAGGACTGTGGGGCCTGCAGCCCTCGCCTCCTCAGGAGCAGCCTCCTCCCGCCCAGCTCCGAGCAAAACACCACCCTCACTGCAAACAGCACCTGCATCTTTCTCAACAAACCAGTAGTCAGGTCTTTCCTTCCTCCTCTGGATCCCAAAGCACCGAGGGAGCCCTGTGTGCCCACCTCCCAAAACAGAAAAATTGTAACAGGAGGGCAGAGAAAGGCAGGGATTTGCTCATCGACACACAGCCTGTCAACAGAAAATGACACATGCCCCAAGGACTTCCATGCTCCAGTTCACTTGGTAAACACAGATGTCTCTCTTACAGCTTATATTAATTCAAATAGCTTGAAATAAATACATATTAATAAGAGGGGATCTGATTAATACATATAAATACCCGAAGGGTGAATGCAGGGAGGAAGGGGCCAAGCTCTTCTCCATGGTGGCCAGTGACAGGACAAGGGGTAACGGGTACGAGTTGAAACACACGAAATTCCATCTGCATGTGAGGAGGAACTTCTTTGCTGTGAGGGTGCCAGAGCCCTGGCACAGGCTGCCCAGGGAGGCTGTGGAGTCTCCTTCTCTGGAGATCTTCCAACCCCACCTGGATGCCGCCCTGTGCCCCGTGCTCTGGGTGTGCCTGCTGGAGCAGGGGGTTGGACAAGGTGATCTCTAGAGGCTCCTTCCAACCTCAACCATTCTGTGATTCTGTGAAATATGCACTTGACTGAATTACCGTAGTCAAATTTTGCTACAGAAATGCTTTGTGAGAGAGGAAGTGATGGCTGTACTGGCAACTCTTTTGATGACAACATATCTACATATTTACTGATTTTCTTCAATCCTCTGCCTCGGGAATCAGGGCATTTCTTGCTTGAAGGCAAGAAAACATGACTTCTAAAGCATTAAACACCAAAAGAGAAACAAACAGAATTTGTACATATTATTTTGTCTTTCCTGAAGAACTTGCTGCTGATTTTTAGCTCTGAAATTAATTTCCTTCACCATATGTGTTTTGGACTCTGGACTCTCAGCTGGCAGAGACATTTCTCCTGATCCTCTTACAGCTTCTGTTGTTTTTGCAGCCTGCACTATTATTTGGATCTAATTAGTGTTAAGCTAATTGCTTGGTTCTATCATCTCAGGGCCCCTGGAGATTTTACTAAAAGGAACTTCCAGCTGTGACTCCAAAGCTTAGGACCTAGAATGATCTCTTAAATTTATGCTGTTTTGCTTCCCGTGGAGGGGAAGATTATGGGTGAAACAGTGAGCTAAGTAACGGTGCAGAGACAGCAGCAGTGTTTTACTCCTCTGTGCCTTCTTTTCCCAGGCCTCAGGATGACACCATTGCTCACCCTCTCCGAGGAGGAGCTGAGCATGGCCCGGGTTCTGCAGAACTGCCTCCATTTAGAGCACCGTGTGGCACAGTCCCAGCAAGCTCCATCAGTTGGAGCCAGCAGGTTAGCGGGGGGACAGCTATGGAGATTTCTTTTTTCCTTCTGTTTTCATTTTCAGCATCAGTAGAGCAGCAGAGGGATGAAGGTGAGGAGAGTCTGGCATTAAATACCAATTCTGATTAAATAAAAAAATACAACTGTGAGAACTTCTTATCCCAAATGATCCAGCCCTCTTTCTTTTGAAGATTCTGCCATAGGAGCTTCCCATCACAGTAAATGAATATGACTAATCCAAGAAGATCTGGTGGTTTACCAGCTTTGGGGGTGGCAAGAAAGAGAGAACCCCTTTGCTTTGAGGCCTGTGGTGACCAGGCCCTGTGACACCCACCAGCAAGAACCGAAGCTCCTTTCTTGTGGAAACGCTGCCAAGCCCATCTGCATGGAGACCTTGCGGAAACATGCGAGGGGCAGTGTATACAGCGTCTTGGCACTACAACTTTTTACACTCCTAGATGTCTGAAGGCTTTTTGTTAAATCTGGGCCCAAGCCAGTTCAGCACGGGAGCACTGGTTCCTTATGGAGAGGCACTGCATCGTGTCCTGAGCCTCTTGCGGGAGCCTCTCGTCTGTGGGATCCCCCAGGACCCGGGAACTGCAGGGAGGTGGGCGCAGGGAGCAGAGGAGGAGGCTCAGCTGGGCTTCTGTGCTAAAGCCCAGCCTTGGCACGGATGGTCCCAGTGCCGGGACCCTGACCACGCTTCTTAGGGAGCCTCTAAGCCTCAATTCCTTGATGTTTGCAGAAATTCATCTAGAAGTCACAATCAACATGAAGCCCAATAGTGCATTCCTGAAGAGGCTTTTTCCTGGAATCATTTTACTGATCAGGAAGCTGCTGGGCACTCCAGACTCGAGCAGTGAGCATTCACACACATTTCAGCACGTCTGGCACCAGACACCAGCTCTGCCTTGGCCACGGTCAGGACATGCTAGAAAAAGCCACTGTCTTGTCACCTATTTGCTGAGTCTCCATCACTCCAATAAGCACTGCTATGAGTCTGACACAAGGCAGCAGACCATGCAAAAACAGCCAGGTGGGATGTGAGGGAAAGAAGCGTCTGTTGGAGGCTTCCTATGGAAAAACACATCTGTATCCCGTACAGGCGCTGCCTGGGAGGCACTGCTTGTAATCTGCTGGACTAAAATTAACAGGGTAAGTGGGACAGGGCTGCTCAAAGCCCTCGGTCTCTCTGCAGCGGGCACTGCTGTTAACAGCTTAATGTGCCAAGTCACACTGAGCAACATCAGCTCTGAAAGGCGTTAGCTGGATGTAACACGGCGTGGAATTCCGTGCCCTCATTCCCTGGAGGAAGCCGGCGCAGGGGCACCCCCGGGAGCGGCGGCGCGGCGGGGCTGGCCCCTGGCTGCAGGCCCTGCGGTCCCTCCCGCGGCCCCGGGGGCACCGAACCCAGCGGCTCCCGCCGCGCCGGGCACGGAGGCTGCACGAGGCGGCAGGGGCTGCCCACGCCCGGGGCGCGGGACTCAAACGGCCGCCCGTAACGGCCCCTCGGCGGCGCTCCCGCCGCCAGCCCGCACCCCCGCGGCGGCCGCTACCTGCGCGGCGGCGGCGCTGCTCATGGCGGCCTGTCGCGAGGGCCCTGGCGGCGAACTACAACTCCCGGCGTGCCCCGCGCGCCGCCCGCTCCCGCCATGCAGCGCGCCGGACTCCGTTTCCCGTGGTGCTGCGCGCCGCAGAGCGCCGCCGCCGCCCGGGCCGCGGATGCCGCTGGCGGCGGGGGGCTGCGGGGCCGCGCCGGGCCCGCCCGGCGGGGCGCTGCGGCAGCGGGGGGCCCGGCGGCAGCCGGCGGGACCGCCCCGCAACTGCCCTCCCGCTGCCGCGTCCCGCTCCGCGGCGGCCCCGCCGCGGGCCCCGCCGGGCCTGGCCACCCTGGGCCTCGTCACGGCGCTCAGCTTCGCCTCGCGCTTCCACCGCCTGCCGGAGCCGCCGCACGTCTGGTACGGGCCGCGGCGCCATGGCAACGGGGGGCGGGGCGCGGGGCCGGCGCCGCCATTGGCCCGGGCGGCGCGCGGGGCGGGGCTTGCGGCGCGGGCCGGGTTGACCTGTCCGCCGGGGCGGGAAGCCCCTGCCCGGTAGGGAAGCGAGTGCCCAGCCCGTGCCCTGCCCGCAGCACAGGAATAGGCCAAAATTCCCGCTCCTCGCCCCTTCCGCCGTCCCTGCTTTCACACATCTCCACCATGACCGCGAAGAGATACGGTTTTGGTGGGATGCTGGTGGGTGAGGGGTGCTTGGATGGCACCCTGGTCCTGCAGATCCATCCCCTGCATGTTGCTCTGGAGGTTGTTGGAGCCCCCGGGGTTTTTGGAGCCCAGGATGGCCCCCCGGCCCGTGGGAATTGCAGGTTTTTAACATCTCTGAGCTCCACCTGGAGTCAGAAAAGTAGATCATAGGATCATGGATCATTATGGTTGGAAAAGACCTGCGAGATCATTGAGTGCAACCTTAAGGCCTTCAACACCAAGCATGTATTGAAAGAGCAGAAGCTTTGCAGTGCTAATAATAAAGCTCTTAAAAGAGCCTGAGCCTAAAATGTCTACGGGACTGTTTGTCTTTGTTTTCTTAGTGAATTCATTTTCTCATGAAGAAGAAATGTCAGAAACCCTCAGTGTGATGGAAAACATCAGCGAAAGCTACCTCGCTGCATTTTTTTTTCCAGTACTGGAGTAACTTGTTCAGATTTTTGTTTGTTTATTTGTTTGTTTTTGCAGTTGGGATGAAACTCATTTTGGAAAGATGGGAAGTTACTACATTAATCGGACCTTCTTCTTTGATGTCCACCCTCCTTTGGGGAAGGTAAACCGCTCTTTTGTTGTGTGTTTTAGCAGCCACATAAATAGGCCAAGAAAAGTCCTCTTCCTCTTGCATCTGGTTGAAGGATGCAGTGAACACAAAAGCCTTATCTATGTGTGCCTGGTATCCAGATCTTTGCCTCCTACATCCTTAGCGTATGTTTGCATCTTCTCTTCTTTATGAAAATGCTTTGAATGTGGGGGGGGGAAAAAAAGAGCACAATATTGTGCATTGGGAATCTGTGAGGTTTGAGCAGATGGAAAGCAAAAATGAACAGGAGGCTTATGTGGATTAGAAGAGATTTCTAATGGAAGGCTATAGATCTAAAGAACCAGACATTTCCTGATGGCTTGTGCATAGGTAAGATCCTTACCACAAGGGCCTTTGAAAGCTCTGACATACTACTCTATGACTGGGGAGAAAAAAAAAAAAAAAAAAAAAGGAAGTAAGTTTTTTGGAGTGCTACTTGGAATGCATTCCTTCTGGCTTTGGAAGATTTTCTTCCTTTCAAGTTGAGACTCTTTACACTATCAGAATAGGGAGCTATGAAAATAATCTGTAGGGATGATGTTCTGTCTCCTAAATCCTGCACCCAGTTACTTCTCTTGAGTCTGCAGTGGTTTTTGTTTGTTTGTTTTTTAATATAATCAGAAGCTGCAGTGTCTTTGACTTGCTCTGACTTCACTTTTACACCAAGAACAATATGTATATATACATCTATATGAATTTTGTACATAAACTCTTTCCTTTTGTTTGGACAATGTGTCTGAATTAATAAATAGTTATCCTCTGGTTCAAACTTGGCAGCTATGAAAATCTTCCCTGCTCTTCATTTGGGCTTTCCTTTCCCCAAAATGATTTTCCTGACCAGTTTTTCCACCTTTCCTCTTCAGATGCTCATTGGACTTGCTGGCTACCTTAGTGGATATGATGGAACATTTCCTTTCCAAAAGCCAGGGGACAGATATGAACATCACAACTACGTGGGAATGAGAGGGGTAACTTGCTAGCTCTCCTTGGCTTTACACTATAGACTGCTATGTTGTAAGAACAGCTTTACTGGGTCTGATCAGAGGTCTGTTTAGCTTTGTGTTGTGTCTTTAGGCTCTTTAATAAAGGATTAGTGAATAAGCCATATGTGAGAAGCCAGGTGACAATATGAAGTGATAACTGAGGCCAGTTATTGCCGCTCACTAGCAGGGCTGCAGTTCTCAGGGTGCCTTATATCCTGCCTGTCCTGCAGAAGGTTCTCTGTGAGCTTGGGCTGTGCTGGAGTCCCTAGTGACTGAGGGACAAGGAATTAAAGCCAGAACCATCCAGCACTGCCCATGGTGCCACCCCCAGTGGCAGTAAGGCAGAAGGAGCTGATGGGGAAAAACTGTTGTTGTTGAGAGTGATATCCCACCTGGAACCCAGGTGGTGCTGGTATCACACTCTTGGTCTGCCTAAACTGCAGATAAAGCAAGGTAAAGGATGAAACACTAGCCAGTGTCTAGTGCCTAGAATAAAGGAGGAAGCTACGTTTTCTTAGTTTTCTTTGTGATTTCTGCCAATTTGCGGTTCTAGATTACCCTGAGCCAAAGGCAGTAGAAATGCTAGAACCAGACCTTGAAGTTGCAGAATTCATTGCTGTGCTACTTTGGTTTCCATTCTTCTCTCTCTCAACTACCCTTGCTCTCATTTGCCTAGCAGAAGTCATATTGTTTGGCTGAAGGTGTGTAAGGCAAATGTACTTTTTTTTTTTTTTTTTTCACTCAGATTCGCTAGTCTAATATCTAGTTATGTTGAGTATGATAGATACATATTGCATCTATATGACAGATCTTCTCATAGTATCTCATGCAGTCCTGAAAGAGACTGACTAACTGTTGTTACCCAAGTCTCTTGGGAGCAGAGTAAGCAGCTGGCATTCTCTAACAAGATCTTTGCTCATTTGACTTTTGTCTGATGTTTGGAGTGAGCCGCTTTAGTCACCTACAAAGGTGCCTATTAGTGGTTGTATCAGATGGAGAACGGGAAGGGATATGCCTGCATGTTCCCCCAGGGGAGTGGTATAACATCTTCTGTGATCTTCTTTTCCTTCAGTTCTGTGCATTCCTTGGCTCCTGCCTGGTTCCCTTCGCCTACCTCACAGTTCTGGAACTGTCCAAGTCACTGCCTGCAGCCTTACTCACAGCTTTCATCCTTATTTTTGGTAGGTGTTCCTGCTACTGCAAAACAGAACAGGTTAATTGTTCAGAAAATTTCCTTTTTTTGGAGTCTCATGTCATTACCTAGCCAGAGGATATGGTGGCTGATAGGAAAGATTCCCAAAAGCCAAGTAAGTCTGCTATATAGGAGCTTTGTTAACTGGCTAATCCCTTAAAGGTTTTGCAGGCATTTTTTGTTTGTTTGTTTGTTTATAAGTGCTTCTGTTATGTGCATAACTAGAGCAATGCACTCACTTTAATTTTAAGAATTCTTTACAAGATACATGGTTAGGAATAACTCACATAGAAGATGTCAGTATTTCACTGGTGGGCAAAGTTAAGTATCCCGTAGGGTATATCATTTCCTACTGCAGTGCTATGGAAGAGTTTAGCTCAAGAAATGAACAAAGTTGCTGAGCCAACAGTGAAGAAATTAGCATTACAAGTGGAATTATTGAAATCGTGGTTTAGCCAGGAAGCACAGATTCACTTAGATTTTAAAAGAGTGAAATCGTATTTGTATTGTATAGATAACATCCGAAAGATGACTTTTTTTTTCCCCCTTCCCCTCCTATGGCTTGCTCGGGCACCATACTGATGCTTTAGTTGGTAGATCCGTGATGACTCTAACACTCTTTATGTGAATATGATAGCAGAACATCCCAAGTGGTGCTTCTCAGCTCTTGCTATACTATCTGTGGTGGTTTTTTTTTTTTAATTTCTTTGTTTTAATTTGTTACTCAGGTAGAAGTTGAAATGTTCTGACCTGTTTCCATTTCTAAAATTGTCCTTGTTCCTTTTTTCTTGTACACACTGAGTAACTGCCTTCTCTCAATGTTAGATTTGCTTGGTAACTGCAAGCCTTCCTGACTGTGTCATGCATTTGTTTGCAGATACAGGCTGTATTACTTTGTCTCAGTATATTCTGCTTGATCCCATTCTGATGTTCTTCCTCATGGGAGCTGTTCTGGGAATGGTGAAATGTAATACCTGTGCAGATAGGTAAGATCAAGATGACATTTTTTTCTTAAACTATAGACATTCAACCTTCACAGAGATAAAATAACAGATTTTGCTTCACCCTTGATAGTGTGGGAAACAGCTAAGATTAGATTGTTTCAGGAAATGTGGAGGTGAAAATGGCTCATGGTAGAGGTGAGGTATTTTTGGTATAAGAATTTGTGAAATAAGGTAGGAAGTATCATGACTGGATAACCCAAGTCAAGACGTAAATAGATTATTTGAATGTGAAAGGAAACTTCAGCAGAAATAGTATTGATGGAACTACAAATCTGGAAATGAAGGTTAAAATTCTAAAACTTCATGAGAAGAAATCAAACTAGTGCACATATCAGGAGAGTGGCAATGGAAGATGTCTAGCCAAGGCATTGATCCTTAAGGACAAAAATATTAATACATCATCTTGACCCAGTTGCTTCATCTCCATGCCAGGGAAATACAACTTATTTGTGACTGTAATCCTGTGAATGTTAAAGAATTTGGTTACAGAAATCTAAGAAAAATAGGATAGGATAGACTAGAATAGGATGATGCTGAATGAAACAGTTGAGTTGGTTGAGATATTGATTATAGAAATATCCAGAGGGAAATGGTGACTATAGGTATTTGGACATGTCAAAAGGTTTCTCTGGATAGCCTCTACAGAGTATTCTTCCCCAAAATGTAATCAGGATTTGAAAACAAGAAAACCTAGAAAGCTGTACTGTATGCCAGCTATGCTTTATGAGATGCTCAGGAACTGATCCCAGAAATCTTAGCAAGACTGCAGCAGGCACGACGAGAATTCTGCCCACGCCGTTATGTAATGGCATCTAGAGCCACCCTTGTCTGCAACACAGACCCCAGCTAGGGCAAACACCAAGGTACAGGGCAGCGTTTGATTCGTTCATAATGGAGCTCTGTGTACCATGACCTGCTCTTATTTCTAACGTCTTGGGAAACGGACTGATCTCTTATTAGTTTGTTTTTGCGTAAATTAAAAGCCAACTCTATCTATCATGCTGCTTAGCAGGTAGTCATGGGAATTTTGTCTAGTTAAAATGTAAGGGCCTTGGCATCAGAAGTCAGCAGGGAGAGGTTTTAAATTCTGCAGACATCTTCCCTTCTCTGCGGTTAGATTTTAATTTAGTTTGTAGTTTTTGGCCTTTGTTTTGGGTAGATTTCTCCACTAAGGCTTTCTCCTTTAGAAAGAAAGTGGCTGCTGTGTTTTTTCTGTCCTCTTCCATGGCCTTAGCTCTCTGATTTCTAACTGAAGTTAACTTGGGGGGTTGGTGTTGTGGATTTTTTGTTTTGTTTCTTGTGTGTATAGCAAAACGTCCAGTTTTTCTTTCAGGCTTTTGATATATGGGATTTTTTTCACACTAGTGCTTCTGAAATGAATGAAAAACTTGTCTTTTTATTCTCATGAATTCCTGAGAAGACTGAAAGTAATTTAGGAAGTGGCTGATTTTTTTTCTCTATTTTCCCAATTGTGTTGTCTATGCGTGTAACCATCACTTATTTACTGACCTGCTCTGTTTGTCCTGCAGGCCATTTTCCATCTCCTGGTGGTTCTGGCTGAGTCTGACTGGGGTGAACCTTGCTGGAGCCATGGGGGTGAAGTTTGTTGGCCTTTTTGTAGTCTTGCTGGTTGGCCTGAACACAATCTGTGATCTTTGGGACTTGCTGGGGAACCTCAGCCTATCACTGGTGAGTGCTTAAGGCTTTTCTTTCTGAAATGCTTCTTTGTTTTGTTTTCCTTTCTTTTGCCCTTGTAATTTTCCTAGCTTTTGACAACCATGAAAATAAACTGTGATATCCTGTCGACAGCAGACATGGGCATCTCAGTCGGATGATGATTAAAGATGAAGGTTTTAATGAAAAACCTCTTGCCATATATTTTCTTTTTAAAAAAAAAAAAAAAAGCTGACATGAAAACAAAATGATTGTTGTTGTTTCCCAAGAGAGACTCTTGCCTTTCCAGTTGGCTGAATTTTATTTCAGTGGTTTCGTTCACAGATGTTTGTGGTGGCCAGATGATGGCCCAAAGTCAAATGTTGTCCCAAATGCCACTGTATGACCTTTGGGCAGTACCTGCTAGCGGGCAGACAGCCACGGCTGGCAGCACCTCCTCTGCAGCAGAGGAGTGAGCTGAGGCCCTGCCCTAGCAGCAGGACCATGGTCTAGCCCGTGTGACACTCGCCCATGTAGTCATAGAGACGCTGTAACTTGTCATCTTCATAGGCTGTACGTAGGGTGCAGGCAGCCAGAGCCTGCTTGATTTTGCACACATTTAGTTCTTAAAAATTCCAAGTAATTTACTGATGTATTTGTGTGCTGTCTTCTAATATATTGCATCTTATATTTGACTTTGAAATCTGCTGGTAGGTAAAATACCTTGATATGCCATTTGCTGCCTTGCAACCGGGGAAGAAAGAAAACTTCTTCAAGCACATCTTTTAAAAGGCATTCCGTTCTTTTGTCTCAGCCTCTCTGAAGCTTAAAAATTCTATTCCTCTCACGTTTTTGTACTGCTTTTGTCTTGAGAATGGTGGGATTTTTAGGGGAATTTTTTCTGTTTCTGCTGTGTGGTTTGTTTTCTCTGATTAATGTGAGTCAATCTGGGCTGCAGAGATGCAGAGAAACACCTTTTGAGCAGAGGCAGTTAATTGCATTTGGAGTGGAGCAAATCCATCACGTCTCAGCTTTCCGCCAGCAGACGGCTGCACAGTGATTTCATTTGTGCTGCTGGCAGCGGCGGCAGGAAGCCCTGAGTGTCAGAATATGAAAAGAAATTTACTCCAGAAGGGAGATGCTTGCTGAATAACTAAGTACCCGGCAACCCCAGTACTTGAGGAGGAGCTGTGGGAGGAAAGAATCCCTACCCCCACGCTCCAAGTAACTGCTCTGTATTAGGTTTTTGTTGTTGTTTGTTTTGTTTTTGAAACTAGTCATGATCAGTTTTACATGCAGTGTTTTTGGAACTAATTTGATTTCTGGAATTCCCAGCTGATGCGGATTCACTGTTCTCTCTTGCTTGATGTTATCCTTCGTGTGGACTTTCTTTTGAGTTTTGTGTTTTAATCTGTAGCTTTAAAAAATCTTTCCTATGAAGATGGAAGGATACTATGGGCATTTTGAGCAAGGGGCTGGAGATCAGCTCCTGTGCTGTGTAACTTTGGTCGCAAAACCTCTTCTCTTCTTAAGCAAGATAAAGTGTACGTGCCCCCTTTTCAGGGGACAATCAGTAGGATTCTCCATGCGTGATCAGTAGGATAGCTAAGTTCTTTTTGCCATAGTTAGAGATGTATGATATTTTGGAAAGGCAAACACTTCTATTGCCCCTTTTTGGGGATCTTCTCATGTCCTTGAAACTTCAAGGAACACCATCTGCAGCCTTTGGAGGTCGAACAAGACCTGTCTTGGTTTTTAACTCTAAGATTTTTTGAGATGATTCTTCAGCTTGCTGTGCTTGTTATAGGTCACAGACTCCTACTATAGCAGTGCTACTCAGGGTTTGGTTAAGTAAGGTGTGGAGTTGTTTCTGCAGCTGCACTGTTTCATGTAGGTTGTGTTTGTTACAGGTCATGTTTGGGAAGCATTTACTGGCTCGAGTGCTCTGCCTCATCGTGCTCCCACTTGCCCTCTACACGGCCATGTTTGCTGTTCACTTTGCAGTTTTAAATAAAAGGTATTTCTCAAGCGTTTTCTCTAGACGAAGAATCACCTGGCTTTGCTTAGTATGAAAGGCCACTGATTAAGGGTTTCTCCATTTTCAGCGTCAGAAGCACAGCCACAAGCTGTGTCTTGGGTTAGTTCCCTTCCCAGACTACTGCACTGTTCTCAGAGGAAGGCTCTGGCCAAGCTGGCAGTGAAACAGGCTTTGAGCTTGAGACTTTCTGACATGCCAAGCAAGTATCCTGACCAAAATGTCTGTCTCCCTTTTTTCTCCTCTCTTTCCTGGACTTGAAAATGTCCACTCCCCCCCCTCCATTGCATTTTATTTGAAGCATTACGTTATTGAAAAATGTTTTGGCTCATTAGAAATAGTTATTTCTAATAGTCAATGAGAATTAGCAAAGGCTGGGCCCTGCTTTGAATGCCTGCAACCAGTGGATGATGTCTATCTGGAACGAGCACAACAGACAGTGAAATGACTAATGATTAAGGTTAAGTAATGATCTGTATCCCAGCTTTAGGAAATGAAGTGAATATATACAAAACTTAATTAAATCTCTTATTTTTCATATTGTTAAGTCTAAGTCTGGCATGCTTGGTATTAGTGTCCTGCCAGAAGCAGGACATGAGGGCCACAGAGTGAGACTTTGCTCTGTCTGACCTGGTAATAAGTCAGATTTATTTGATATAAAAGCAGCACTTTCAAAGATAGTTTGTATTTTGTGCACTGTCAGCAGACTTCCATTTTTGTGACCTCAAATCCTTGCACCTCTGGACAGTTGCTTGCAAGAGCTTATACACCTGCTGCAATTCACAGCAGGACAGGTGTTCCTAAAGGAACTGCAGTCATTCCTCTCTTAAGACCATGTCTGGTCTTAACTTTTTCCTCCTCTAGAAACGATTTGGTGATGCGTGTTAGAGCTTTGCATACTTGTTTTGCCATTTTTACCAGACCTCTGACTTTTCTTTGCTCTTTGTTTTTGTAGCGGCCCTGGCGATGGTTTCTTCAGTTCTGCCTTTCAGTCGCAGTTGATTGGGAACAATCTTCATAATGTCTCTGTTCCAGAGCGTGAGTGTCCGAGGGAATAAACTGCTATGAGTTTTGCCAGTGTAACTGTGCAAAAGAGTGCAGATTATGTCTGTGTGCTCACAGTCAGATCCATGCTGTTCCTCTACAATTTTATCTATCTACAGAAAAAGGCTGAAAATAACACCTAATGTGTTTAATACACTGGGCATAACTGTTTTGTGATACTTTTTCATCGTTCAGAGCATTTTCCTGCTTCAGAACTACAAGTTCTGTTTATGTTAAAAATATCTGGGAGAATTTTAGATTTTTCAACTAAATTTTATATATCTGTTTTTCTGAATTTTGGTTGGTGATGGAAGGTGAACTTTGAAATGACATGTGAAACAGGAGATGAGCTTGTGTAAAAACACAGCAGGACCATATATGCAGAATCAGAGCCCTGCAGGTTGGCTGGAGAGATACTTACAGGAGTCTTAGCTTATGCCTTGACTTCTTCCTTCCTACTTAGACTTGGCCTACGGCTCTGTGGTCACAATGAAGAACCTGCGCATGGCAGGGGGCTACCTTCACTCCCACTGGCACCTCTACCCCGAGGGCGTCGGAGCCCGTCAGCAACAGGTTAGTGCCCTGCTGCAGCTCTCCTGACTGCTCACAGGCATCATCCCCTGTCCTGTGGAGCTTCCTCATCCCCTTGTGCTGAGCAGTAGATGCTGTCGGGACAGGAGCTGTGTCAGCATCTGTGATCCTTTCAGCATCATGTCTGTACCTTTGGTTTGGAACCTTAGCAGGTAGGTTGCTTGAAGAGATCCTGCCCTTCTTGCACCAGAAAAGTGACTTACAATAGCGAAGCTTCATTACAGTAGTGAGGTGACCCTTTATACATGGAGGCCAAGAGGATTTAAAAATAATGTTCCTGAATCACAGAATCATTGAAGCTGGAAGAGAGTTTTGGAGGTTATCTATTCCACACTCCATGCACAAGCAGGGATACTTAGGGCATGTTGCACAGGAAATGAAGGAATGTTACCTCAGGGAAGGCTGCAAAACTTACGTATAAAACAAATTACTACTTTATCTTGTAGAGGTCATTGCTGTGTGTTAAAGCAATAGAAGTGCCAAGTGTTGTTTTCATTCTGGCACTGGCCTCTGTGACCCTACATTAATTACTTTCCCTTTTCCTTGTTTTCTTCATTTGTCACATGAGTATTTGCAAGGCTGTGTTCATTAAATTAGATTTCTCTATGTTCATAATCTAGCAGTTATGAAGGGTGCTTACCTGAACTTTTTATGGGTTTCTGATAAACAATTAACCTGTAGATCAAAGTAAAAATTAGGAACCATGCAATTACCACTAATTAAGTAGTACAAAAATAAAGTGAATTTCCTATTTTTGTCTGTCATCATCAAGCCATCAAGGATTTGCAGACTCTATAATATTCCCAAGATATACTTTGTAGTTTGCATATTAATATCTAAAAGTTTCCTGAGCAATTAGAAAGAAAGTTTCAAGAGCAAAACATATTTTTAAAATTCCACTTGGTCTATGTTATGGGGAAGACTTTTCTTAATTTCTCAAAAATTATATCTTTACTTCAACGATCTTTTCTTGCTGTTCTTTCCAACCAGAAAATCTAGTGCTCTCAGGTGACGTAAATGTTTATTATTGTAGGTGGAGATGTCCTATAGGAGCTGACTCAAGTATAGGCAGAATTCAAGTGCAGAACGTGGTTTATGATATGGAAAGCAGAGAAGGGGGCTCAGGGAGCTGCTAATGGGAGTTTCCCTGAATGGAAAAGTGGAAGAGGCTGGAGACCTGTCCCACCCTTAACCCTACACTGTGTTCTGGAAGATGGATGAGGATTGAGGGCTGGGAGAGTTTGGGGAGTTTGGAGAGGGGAAGGGAGCTTAGAACTTACTAAAAAAATCATCCCAGGTGTTCTGTGTTAGTCGTGCATTTACTTGGGACTTGGAATTGCTGGTGAATGCATGATTACTGTGCCCAGCTTTTTTTCTCTTCGATTAAATGGTTTGTACTGTGTTTTCAGGTCACTGCCTACTTGCATAAAGATTTGAATAACCTGTGGATTATAAAGAAACATGATTCAAATACAGGTAACAAACACTAGCAGAGTGATTTCCATAACTACTGCTTCATTTTTTTTACTTAAATCTTCTGAGTGCTACCATTGTAAAATATTTTTCATTGATATGAGGGGAAGAACAAGGAAAATGTGGTTCCATCTTGATAAATGCTTTTCGTGACAACTACGTTTTTGGGGTTTTTTTTTTCAGTTTGTATAACTGAAGTAGACAAGCATTTCTCAGCTTGTCTACCTCTGAAGGTTTTACTGGCAACTTTCAGCTTGTCAGGGCTGTAAATAAAACAGAAAATCAGTTTGAGCTCAGTTAATATTTTATGAAATTTGTTACTGTGACTGCGGGCTTATGGAGAAGTTGGTCCCAGTATATGTGAGGAGGAAGTAACTCAGAAATAGTACTATTATATTCCCTATTGCAAGTGTCATGATATAGTCCATGAAATAAAGTGTGTATTCTAGTTGGTGCTGTTCAGTTAGGTTGGCCACATCTTCTTTGTTTAAGAGCAGTGCGTCTGCTTGAGGCCATGACCTTGCACAGTTGCACAGAATGGCCCTCAAGGCTGATCTTTAAGCTGAAGCAATGGTTTACACCAGGTTTGGAGTCTACACCAGTGAGTCTGCCTTGTGTTCCTGTCTGCCTGAGGCATGAGTGCTCCCAAGAAACTTTTCTTGAGACACTGATTTGCTTGTCACCATATTGATACAATTGGTTTGCCTTTTTGCAGCAGATCTGCTAGATCCCTCCAGCCCTGTGGAGTTCGTGCAGCATGGAGATATTATCCGCCTGGAACATAAAGAGTAAGAATGAATTCTGGGATTTGAAGAGATTGAGTTTTGATGGGTGTCTGTGGAATGGGGAGCCCTTAACAGAGCCACACAGCTTTATTAAAAGCACCTACTTACTGAGTCTATCCAGCAACCTGTGAAAGTTTTGAGTAGCTGTGTAATATTAAGGACCACATTCTTGCAAGTAACTATCTACATTCTGTACATGCACATCTGGAAATCATGTCATAACACACTCAATATTGCATATTTGCAAATCCTGAGTTCCAAAACCACTTTTAAAGGATCAAGTCGTGGGTTTGCAGTATTCTTCTTGCTTTACTCCTGTGCTGAAGAGAGGTGGCCTTCTGGAGTGGGAGAGGACCCTGCAGCGCTGGGAAAAGCTCCGGCAGGTGGCTCTCAGCCTCTGCCTAGAAACAGCTTGAGGCGTGCGCTGAGGGTTCTGTGCAGATAAGGCAGGGCTGGATGCAGCTGCAGCTGTTGGTGGGAGAGGCTCCCCATCTGAGTGCTTTTGTTAAGAGCTGATCAGCTCTTGGCAGAATGATGGCCAGAACTTTCTGGTTTTCCAAGTCAGCAGTCCCAGCTAGGGCAGGAGCTGAGTGATCCCACCATGAGCCAGGGAAGGATACCTGGTGCTGACGGAGACCACTCACCCACTCCTGAGAAAGTTTGTGTTGACTGAATGGTGCAGTCTTCTCCTTCAAAAGCAAAACTAATAGGCAAGACAGGTCAGGAACTTGTTTTGCATCCTGCAATACCAAGGTTGTTGTCCCATTTTAACTGTTCATAAATAATAATTCTCAGTGCACTTTCAGCTAAATGCTTTCTTTTTCCTAACTGTGGCAAACAAGCAAAGTCTCTTCCACCTGAAAGTGGTAGATTATAGCTTGAGGATTGGATTTGCTGTTGCTTTCTGCCAGCACTGCTAGAAGTTCAGAGTCGTGTGGTGGGAAGCAGCTGTTTCACTGTATGACCCCATCGCCACTGAGGCTGCATCCTGCCCTAGCCCAGGATTCACTGGTCAGCGGGCTGGTGGCTCTTTGGCTCAAGCCAAAGTTCTTATGATAAACTGACTAAGACACAAAAACAAAGCCAGGTTTGACTTTTAATTTCATTCCAGAACTTCTAGAAATCTCCACAGTCACCAGCATGAGGCTCCTCTGACAAGGAAACATTTTCAGGTCACTGGCTATGGAATAGTAAGTGAATGGCAAGGTAAAACAAACCCTACTTTTGGGGGAAGACTTACTCCTACTTTCGTTTTTTTAGCTAGGGTGATAGCTATAGGGCTGCTGAACTGGATGGAAATCTGCTTTAGTGTAAGACAGTGCATTTTGTGTTTAAGGTCTATTTGGTATGAGGACAGTCAGGAAAAGAATGAAGCTTTTGTTCCCAGTCGAGCTTTGGCAGCATTCAGCTCCTTAGCTCCTTAAATGCCTAGCGGGGCAACCTTGAAGTTGCTCTGACGAGTATTATTTTCTGTGTCTGTCCTTGTCACATAGACAAATGGCTTTTATTGACAAAATGATGACAAGAATTTGGAATCAGGAAAATAAGATCTGCTCTGAGGCAGAGGCAAGTAGCTGCTGAGAGGCAGCCAAACCACCCGCCATTTAAAATGTAGTTCTGAACCAGAGTCAAATACGAATTTAAAACAAAAAAAAATTGAGGTTGGCAAGATCTAAATGTATTTGTGGGTAGCTGCTGATATCTCAAATCATCTTTTCAGACTTTCAGAAGTTCCTGTTTGTTATGCCTCTTTCCCGTATTTTGTTATTTGTCTTTGTTATTTTCTTTTTTTTTTTTTTTCCCCTGCTTGTGCTGTCTTTGGATGATAGAATGGAACAGGAGATACCAATGATTTCTGGAGGATTGAAGTGATGGGCAGAAAGACTGGGAAGCTCATAAAAGTCCTCCGGAGTCGGATCCGGCTAACCCACATGGCCACAGGGTGTATATTGGGCTCCTCTGGAAAGACACTGCCAAAATGGTAAGTAGCCTGTAATCCTTCCCACCAAAGGCTTTGAGCTGACAGCTGATGTTCCTCCTTTTATGTCATTATTTTATGTCCCTTTGTTCAATGGTATTTTTAAATTTAAGCGAGGCAAAATGCATTTTTTCCCTCCATTTCTTTATATTTTATGATTCTTTTAAAGATCCATTAGGCTCTGAACATACGACTAGAGGTTAGGAAGTTCAGGGAGAGAGTTATGCAGTCTGTTACAGTGAAAGTGACTGAGGGGCAGCAGTTTTGGAAAATAATATCCCTTACCAGGAGTTCCCAGAATGGCGTCATTGTAAGTCCAGGAAGAGGATCATAGACGTGAAGCAGTAGCTCTTGAGGCCCATTATATCCTAAGGGACTTGCAAAAACTTGCTAAAAACTGAGGCAATATATGTTATTATATTCCATAATCCACCAAACATTTTTATTGATGCTGTTTTCTTTCGTAGTTTGAACATCTTGGGCGCTTTCTGTATGCAGCGTCTGAGGTGTAAGGGCAGCTGTAATAAGCTGATATTAGCAGGGAAGGGTTTTAACATCCCCTCAGGTTGTATGAGTGTAAACTCATCATAAAATAAGGTACATGTGTGGATATTCAGACTACTGCCAAACAAGCTGCTGTGTCTGGAGCACTGTATTGTGTAGTTAGCTATCGTGGATCCTGAAGCAGCGTATTGCATAGTCATGTTGCTGCTGCTTCCAAAGCTGCTTCTGCTCCTGCTAGCATAGGTTTCCCTCCACTGTGCGATGGTTAAAAGGGCTTTTAAGAAATCCCATTTAAGGTAAGTTGTATTGGGTGCAGGCAGGTATCTCTGCTGGTGATTGCGTGGTGAGAATGTAGGTGTGTGTTGGATATTCTTCCAGTAACTCATCATTTATGGGTAAAAAACCCACCAAACCACTGCCTCTGATGATGGTGCTCAAGAAAAGACTGTTTTTTCCCCTGACTCAAACTTACCCTGTACATGTGTGTCATTGCTACTCAATGTTCATGACATTAAGAGCTCAGATTAAATACTGGTAACTAGGAATAACAATAGTTAGATTAGTTTGGATTTATACATATTTTTAAAACTCATTTAGAAGGAGTAATCCTTGTCCTTCAGAGAACTGCACATCACCTGCTAAGGGGTGACCAGCAGAAAATTCCTGACTGTTCTTTCACATTACTGCAGTATCTGCTGCACTTCTCAAAATGTGTCCACTGATAGAAATAGGGTAACAAGCTATGTGAGCAGTTGATGCAGGATCCTATAAAAGTCCTTCCTGTGTTTCTGTAGTTGAGTTGCTACAGGCGTGGATTGACGTAAAATGATGATGATGACTTTTTTCTGGAGAGAAACAGTTAATAACAGTTCTTGTTGGCTTGTAGTAGATGTTGATTGTCGATGTATGGCTTCTTGGAAACCCAGGCCACTTATGTGTGCACTTATGTGTATATATTTGGCTTTAGGGATCCAAATATGGGTGTGTTGTTTTGTATGTTTGGTAAGATTTTGATTTTGGCTGCTCTGCAAGTCTGTTCCAGTTTCTACATGGTGCTAGAGCAGGACGTCTGAGTATATGAGAAGAAGATAGCTGAGACTGAGAGGTGTGGCAGATGTTAATGTAGAAGAAAAAAATTGATGTGAAAACTAAACATGAGAATAAAAAATCAGACATGAATTGGAAATACTGTGTGACTGTTTGTGAGTTGGTGACTTACTGCCCTGCTGTCCCTCAGGGGCTGGGAACAAGTGGAGGTTACCTGCACGCCGTATCTGAAGGAGACTCCCAATTCCCTCTGGAACGTGGAGGATCATATCAACCCGAAGCGTGAGTGTCTGTTTCCCTTCAGGGTGCATCTTGGCTTTCTCCTAGGGAAGAGATGATCAGACAGGGATTTAGTGTTTGTACATGCCTTCCCCATTCAAACTTGCTGTGCTTGAGACAGTTGTTCAGAGATGCATGGTCGTATTCTGCTTCAGTGTGTTTACTGTAACCTGGTGATAGGGCCTCAAGTGGAATGGAAGTATAATAGGTATTTTGAGATACTCGTGAATAAAGAAAGGGATAGTTTTGTAGTCACAGGCTATTAGTTTAACATCATTGTTGTAATTGCAGGGATTATTGTGATTGGTATGAGTATGTTGTATGTATTTTAATGATTTTTTTATTTAAAAGTTAGTATCCACTTTGCTGCATTTTTTTTTCTTTTCCTTCTTGTCTGGAGAAGCATGTTAAATACTAACTTTGCAGTAATATTGAGTAATGGATAGTGAAAGTATGACGAGAGTCAGGGAAGAATGAAGAGTGCTGGTTATGACAGATGGGCCTACCAGGCTCATCCGGGAATTGATAAGTGTAAGAGCCTCATTTGGCCTGAATATTTGATATGATTTTCATCTCATGAATTGCAGATGACTTGGACTTAAAAACAAAACAAAACATCTACTGTTTTTCTTTCAGCCTTTCAGAGCCACTGTGTGCAAACCAAAATAAAGGAATCCTAGTAAAGGAATCCTGGGCTGTTCACTTGGTGGAATCTCCTCTTTTGTTGTCTTTTATTTTGTATGTTCAGACTTATGGCTCATCTGTGGATAAACGGCACCTTATGAACTCCTGGGCTTAATTTCAGCTTGAAACAGATCTGCTTCTTTCAGGACTTTTTTTCTCTTGCTCAGTAGGATATCTAGGAGTGGATCAGTTGTGAAATTCCTTGGGGCATCCTTTTTTGACTGAGTTTCTGTGTTTAGAATATGAATCAATTGCATAGGGAATTAAAAGAGGTGCTAGAAGCAGCCTTGGTACAGATTTGATATAGGAGGACAGAGTTTGTTGTGCAAAAATCAAATAAAAGTAAAACATTCAGATTGCTAATCTACCTTTTTTCTTTCTTTTTTTTTTTTTTTCCCTCTCTTTCTAAAGTGCCCAATATCAGCCTGGATGTTTTGAAGCCATCTTTTGTAGAAATTCTGCTTGAATCCCACATGGTTATGATCCGGGTAGGACAGTCTTAATTCTTGATTATAACTTTCTTCATCCTCTCTTTCATTAAAAAGAAATGTAATTTCTGAGATTTCTGGATGATGGCTGCAAGGTGGGGCAAAGCTTAAAAGCCACAGCCACCTACTTAGACTTTTACTTAGAGAAAGAAATGGTCCTACACTTGTACCTCTAATTTTGGAAGCCCTGGCCTTGATCCATGGCTCTACTGTTAATATGATCTGGCTGCAGCCCAGTTATTAAATCTTTTCATTGCTTGTTAAAGTGAAATGAGTGAGGCAGAAAGATGTTAACTGTGATCAGAGTCACAAAATCAGGTAAACGCACTCTGAAGAGAACAATGAATGTTTGGGTTGAAAAAGGGAAAGTTCTGTTTGTTTGTTTGTTTTTAATTGAGATATTGTGTTCTCTGCTTTCCTCTTCTCTGTTTATCCCTGAGGATAATTGAAAAAGAACTGGATTTCATATTTTCAAGGTGGACTGTCTTTATAGTCCATTCCATGATTGTTCTCTGTGAGCAATCTTCTGCTTCCATTCTGCTTCCAACTCCTCCTTCGGCTAAGAGTGTTTGCAGAAGATTTAAGATTTTACTACTTTTGTAAAGCAGTTCTCAAATTCTCTAAAGACAGAACGTAGTCAAGCAAATCATGATTAAGGCTAGTAATTTCCATGGCAACCAGTGATAAGGTTGTTTCAGGTAAGGAAATACCTACATGAGTTTCTATGGAAATAATCTTTCTGAAGCTTCTGTTTGAGTGGAGGGAAACCTGTTGAAGTAGTCACTATCTTAATAAACAAAGATCTTGTTTAAGCTACGTGTCCTCAGTGACAGAAAACTCAGAGAAGAGAAATGAGAGAATAATGCCTCTAATGATAGCCAAGTAACATTTTCACTTACACGGTAATCTCAAATATTCCCTGACCACGGTTTGTCAGTCTCCAGAAGTTGATCTGTTCACATAGCCAGAAAACAGCTTTTACTCAGGAAGAGTAGTCATGTATGTTTGTGTACCCAGACATATCTGGGCAGACCTTCTCAGCATCACTGAGCACTTATTTCAGATTTGTTTTGTTTTATCTGTAGGGAAACAGTGGCCTCAAACCAAAGGACAATGAAGTCACATCCAAACCCTGGCACTGGCCCATCAACTACCAGGTAGGTTGATCAGTTCACACCCCTTTCTGTTTTTAGGTGCTTTTCATAGAATCACAGAATGGTTGAGGTCAGAAGGGATCTCTAGAGATCATCTAGAGCAAACTCCCAGCTCAGGCAGGGTCACCTAGAGCAGATTGCCCGGAGCTGTGTCCAAATGGCATTTGGATACTTGCAAGCATGGTGACTCTACCACCTCTCTGCTGCAACCTCTTCAGTGACACCTTTGCCACTCTTAAAGATGGTATTAACTGGATTGATACTAACTTTACTGATTTTGGTCTCTCTCCGCAGGGCCTGCGCTTTTCTGGTGTCAATGAGACAGATTATCGGGTTTATTTGCTGGGAAACCCGGTAAGATGGAGAGGGGGGATTCCAAGCCAGTGTCTTCAGCAAATTTTACGTAGTGACAGCGATTCTCATCCTCTTCTTCCTTTTGGACTACTTTTCTTATTGTGCTTTTATGCATGCATGTAGCTTCTCTTTCCCTCTCACATGCTCACCCCAACATCCAGCTATGTCTGATGTCCCCATTCTCTTTCTTTCTTTCTTTCTTTTTTTTTTTTTTTTTCCCCTATCCTATTTAGGTCATTTGGTGGCTGAATCTAGTCACTATTGGCTTGTATCTTCTGATGGCGATTTCTACCACAGTGGCTCTGAAAAGAGGTGTCCAGCTAACACCTGAACTTAAAGGTGAGGCCAGTTTTCCTGTCTCTTGTACTGTAAAATCACCTGTTATAGCGTTCTGGTTTCTTAATACAGGAAAGCTTTTCTTAGAAATCCTGTATTATACATGTCTCTGAATGCTGTACTCAACCCTCTGGGCATTGAAAAAATGCATTACAGGACAGTGCTAGGTACAAAAAGCCAAGTTAATTAGTGTTATGAAAGAGTGCTATAAAATGATATGACTGTAAATGAGGGGTTTTGTACTAGAAAGAATTACTCTGATTAACGAATCTGGCTTCTTGAATAGCAGAGATCAAACTTCTTAAGCCTTAGGGCTTCATCAAAAATCCTCAAGCAAGTAACAGCCCTGAGACACATACATAAAAAGCAGAAGAGCTCTCGGAGTGACTTGCAGGTGGGAGATAGGGCTGGTAAAGTCTTAACCACTCCTTTGCTGGAGAGCACTGAGCTGGACTGCTGAGGCTGGCAGCCTAAGGCGATCCAAAATGAGTCTTGCTGATTTGCCTCTTCCAGGAGACAAAGTTTATCAGTAGTAGCTCATATGCCAGCTCTGCTCTGCTGTTGATCATACAGTCTAGCATGGGAATTGTTCATGAACTGCTCAGACCCAAAATGCTGGCCATAATTGCTGTCAGTTGTGTTAATTATGCAGTTCTCTGATGACCAGATTTGTACCTGTTGGAAAGAATGTGCTTGATAGGGGTATATTAGTAGGAGATAGAGTGTATGTCGAGGAAACCTTCCTGGTACAGAAATCTGCTAGTTCTGAGGCTTTTAACTTTTTCTGATTTGTAGACTTCTAATTTTTTTTCTAATGGTGATACTGACCCCACATAGGCTACTGGTAATAGTTTCCATTTTGTAGATGCCTTTTGCAGACGCTTTAGAGGTGTGTGGAAGGAAGGGTCCTATGTACCTAGGGTAGAAAACCACTGAGTTAGGTTAACTCCTCAAGTGAAAGCGTGGGAGGTTCATATCTCAAGTAGTTCTAAAACGATAGATCTCTAAAACAGGATAGATCCCTAACAAAAATATTGCAAGGAGCTACCTGTGTTGGCTGTAAGGGGGAAGGACCAATTGGATCAGTGCCCTGCTCTCGCAGTCTGCTTGTGCACTGTATTTTCACGTTATAGATGCTGTTTTGCCATGGGTAATGTTTCCTGATTCTTAGGCAGAGCTGATGAAATGGCAGATAGAAGGGATGCAGTAATCTTTTATTGTTGTCAGTGCTTGGTTCGTAGGGCTTTTCACAAACCCGAGTAAATCATACTTTATCATTTTAGTTTACATCAATGGTTGCTTTGTTTTGGGAAATGAATTCTAAAATGTGAAGTGAAACTATTCACTAATGCAGTTAGTTACTGGCTATGTTGAAGACAGGTACCAGAGTAGACAACATTCCTTTCCAGAGAAGGGTGACAAAGTGGCCATCTGGATGGCTCTTAATTTCATTGCAGAGCAAACAAAAAACATCAGAAACTGGAATAATCTACTTAGTCTAATGTACATCCTGAGAAACTGCAAGCTTGGTCTTAACATTCAGTATGGTCCGCCCCTGCTGATCCCTCAAGACTTATGTCTCTGTGTATCTTTGCTGGTAATGGTGCTTCCCCTGAGCACTATTTATATATGCATAAAAAATACAACGTGCATAAAGAATACAACTGTTCTTTATGGACATACATGCATAAAGAATACAACTGGAATATTGTAGAGGCTTGGAACAGTTTCAGACAGTAGACTGCTTCTTGCAGTTATCCTTCTGGTTGATTTTGCTGTCATTCTTGCACTACTCACTGTGCTAAGGCTTGCAAAGAGAAACTGGGGTTGAGGTTTTCTTTGCTGAAGTATGTTTGTTCTTGTTCCAGAACTGTCCCAAGTCTTGCTGCATGGTGGAGGGCAGATTATGCTAGGCTGGCTCCTTCATTATCTCCCTTTCTTTATGATGAGCCGAGTTCTCTACTTTCACCACTACTTTCCTGCCATGCTTTTTTCCAGCATGTTAACAGGTAAGTACTGGAGCTGGGAGGAGGCAAGGATGCAGGTGACATGCTGTTACATGGAACACTTTCAGACTGAATTTTTTTTTTTTTTTTTTTTGGTTTAGTTTTCTTTTTGTGGTAGGGGTAGGTTTTCTCCTTGCTTGAGCATAGTGCTTGAAAACATGTGCTAATTAAATGCTTTCACAAATCAACCTGGGGTGCCAAATTGTCTATTTTTGTTGTTGTTGTTTCCTTACCATCCCAAAGAGTTGTATATCCTAGTGGTTAGGACATTTGAATTTAAATATTTGATTCCTTTTCTCTGCTCTTTCACTATATATATAATTTTACACAAGTTATTTCCCTTCTTAATTTGCTTCCTCTTACCTTTGTCTTGCTTGTTCATACTTCAGTCTTGGTAGTTTTTCCTGTTATTTTGTACCAACCTAGTTAGCATGCTGGGGTGCCCATTTCTTTCCCATTCTTTCTGTTGAGAAGGTGATGGGGGGGGGAAAAAAGCAACTCTCTGCTGAATATATATATATATATATATATATATATATATATGTATGTGTGTGTGTGTATATTCTGTGTAGTTCTGAAGGTATACAAGGTAAATTAGTTCAAAAGTAGAGATGGTTTTCAGGTCTCAACAGAGCCTTTTCAGCTCAGTCAATGGCTGCATGTTGTGGCCTTGTTCTGCTTCCTTCTTTTCCTAGGAATCACCTGGGACACACTGCTGAAGTTCTGTGCTAGGTTCCTGTCATCCAGCACTACAGCTGGAAATGTTTATGGAGGAGGAATCCTGGTACTGGTTCTACTCATCATGTACAGGTAGGTGCTGAAATCTCCGCTTTCCTCCATGTTTAAGAGCCACTCTCTCAGTGGAACTCTTAGGGCCAGTTAATGATCCTTGCCCCTTGTTTCTGCCTCTTTTCTCTACTGATCCTTTTAGACATCAAGTCTGCAGGCACCCTAAAAGCCCATGTTTCGTTAAATTCAGCATTTATGTCTCTGTAATGGATTTTCAAAAAATCTATTACAGGGAATCTCATCCTTTTACCCCACTATTCAGTGTGAATGTTATATTGTCCTCTGAAACCACAGTAATTTCTGATTCTAGTCCCCATACTACATGGTGTCATATCCCTCAAATAAAGATGAACCCTTGCAGGCTTTCCCTGCTGACTCTTCTCCACAATTGCTGCTGAGAGATAATACCAACTTTGATAAAGCTAAATACCATGTTCAGCTCCTCAGTGGAGCTTATAGCAGCCTAAAAACAAAGTTGCCTTAATTCACCTGTATGGATTAATCTTCTGCAATGTTCTTGACACAGAACACTCTGCAGTTAATTAGTCCCTGATGGGTATTTGGGTTCTTTCCACAGCTTCTACCTCTTCCATCCTCTGTCCTATGGTATGATAGGACCCATGGCCTCAGACCCAAACAGCCCCATGGCAGGGCTCCGGTGGATGGAGTCCTGGGAGTTCTAGAGCCAGCAAAGGGAGCTTGGAAGCAGAGACAGAAATGTGAGATCTGCTGCATGTCAGGCTGATTCCACAGCTTGGAAGACATGTGGCTATAAAATGCCTTCTCTGGAGACCTCTGGCTGTAGTGGCCCTGGTGCTTTGGCATTTGTTTGCATTGCCTGCTTTGGAAGAGGAAGAGGGTGATCGTGAGAAGGCTCTCTGAGGAAGACTCAAGTTATGAAATTTTAGGTTATGTTTCTGGGCAACCAACTACTTAACTGTCAATTTTTATGAGCAATATATTGGAGCCCTTTACAGTCAAACAGCAGTGGTGTTTCAGGAGTGAGACCAGTGCAAGTCATGGGATGTGTCCACATGCATGGATGTGTGTGAGTGTGTGTGCATGTGTCTTCTTTCTTGCAATCCAAGTGCTATTGCAACTTGGGAGCCAGATAGTGTCTGAGACATGAGAATTTTTATCACGTTTAACAGTTCTTATTATAGTGTTTTGGGGTTTTTCTTAATCTTTATGTAAGTACCTGGGGATCTCTGTGCCGCTCTTCCCTGGCTGCCTGCATTTTTTGTGATGTACTTCTAGAATTTGACTGAACTGAAAGGGTGTCCACTTGAAATCTCCCTAAGCCACTGTGCCTTGCCTGTCTGTCAGGCTCTGCAGGTAAGGATTGTTTGTTTATCCATGTATATTGCCTTGCTTGCTGGCCACCTTTAACCATTTATAATGGTTAGCCAGCAGGCCTCTTCTCACACTGTTCCAGCTCAGCACTTGGCAATTCCATCCAGACCTGCAAAGAAGCTACAAAAGAAATTATAATGGAGCAGCAGGTAGTTTATTTCCTGCCCCAGTGTTCTGTGAAGACTGGCCCCGTTAGGGATATGCTAGGAGTCAGAATGCTAGGCTGTAAATTGAACTGGCAGCTGTCATTCTCCTTTGGAATAAAGCTGTTCCAATGCCAGGACCTGTATTTTTAGGATGAAGGTGTCATCTTAATGAATGTGGCATCTGCAAAACTGTCAGTGCCCAAGGCATTTGCACACCGTATTGCCATACTGAGCAAGTTCCCTCCCATAGATGGCTGACCATTGTATACTGCATTGAGGGAAGGGTCACACCAGCAGAACTTCTCTTTGTGTTAGGCATCAAGAGCCTTGGATGTTGAGTCCACCCTTTCCTAGAAGGGAGAGCGCTTTTTGTCTGTTTTTGATTCCCTTCTCCTCTGTTATGCTCATTTTGTGTTTATTTTATTTGTTTGTTTGTGTTATGTTTTTTTAATGTTCTTTTCATTCAGTCTTCCACCTTTTGCCCAAATTTCAGTTTCTTGTCACAATTTACTGTTAACTACCTTGTAGCATCCAAAGCAAATGGCACTTAAACCCCAGCTGTGTTTCTGTCTTAAGAAGTAATATTTTGTACAAGTATCAAGGCACTCAAGCCTTTTGGAGTCCTTGGTCTGTTTCTTAAGCTTACTTTGAAATGATGTGTGTTGGGAGAAGCAGCAGGTGAATGTGTCTACTTTCAAATGTAAAAAAGAAAGAATGTACAACTTCTCCACCTGGAATTCTGACCTATTTCCTGCAACATGGAAGGGCTGTGTGTTACCATCCCAACGATAGTTGTTCTGTATGCAGGACAGAGACTCTGGTCGTGCTTGGTTTCATTCCTCCTCCATAGCAGATCCAAAGGAGTGTTCAGTAAGGCAGCTGCTTGCTGCTGTGAGGTTCTGACTCGGTGTCACATCTCCCCCAGAAGCTGACTTCTGTAGAAACCAACATAGATGGCATGGACGTATGCTTTTGATTCTGAAGGTTTTGAATTAATCACCTGCTGGTAATTCCTGGTGGGAAGGCATCACTGGGGCTTCGCAGCAGTGATGTGTAGGCACGAGGCGGAGGGAGGAGGCTGCAAACTTCTCCAAATCCTGCTTGGTCTGACAGGAGTTAAGCAGCAGCTGCAAATCGTTAGCTGTTGGCAACAGGGCAGGCAGACACGGCGCCGCCGCTGCATTGGTAGCAACGTGATTCAGCAGCCTCTCCCCTCGGCGAGATTATCTGCTTAATGCCTTTCTGTCATGAATACGAGCTTTCCATACCATGGCCCCATTGCCATGGGGAGGAATTGCTACAGGGACTGATAAAAGATGTGGATTCAAGACATGGGGTTTTCAGTATGTGTGATAACATACTTGGCATAAGCACTAATTGGAAAAGCTAAGAAATTTGTGAGTGTTTTGAAGTGGAAGTTTCTAAAATTCTTTTAAGTCTATGGGAAGTTGAAAATCAGCTCAGTAAACCCAGTTACTCAGTTACTGCAATGCTTGAGAGAGCTGGCTTTGTAGGAGCTGCCTGAAGAAGATCTAACAGTGTATTCGTTGCTCAGAGCCCTGTTTCCTCTATGGCTAATAATATTTCTAGCAGAGATGGCAGCTGAGTTTAGATGGACCAGCTGAAAGTGGCAACTGTCTTTGGGCACAGGAAGCTGAATGTGAAAAACTCAGCTTTTGTTTCACTAAAAGGGTTGCTTTAATTTAGTGTGGTCAGTTTAGAAATCTGCTATTGAGAGCACTTGGTTAGCATAGGGGCAAATTAATTTCTTAGGTCTTGTGTGCTGGTGGTGGTATGGAGCCATATACATTGGAAAAAAATCGAGATAATCCCACAAGAGGGAGCAGCCTCCAGCAGGATTTCTCTTTTCATCTGGAACTAAGTGTATTAGAAGATCTGCATTTGAAGAGTAGAGAGCAGACATTAAAAGGGCACGTGTTTCATCTGCAGCCTCTAGATTCCAAGGGATGAATTTTCAAGGAAGTGTAAATTGAAGTTGCTTGGCTTTCTTTCAGTAGAGAAAGACTGAGAATTCTTCTTAGCTGAAAATTTCTATCTCAGTATTTTCTTCTCAAAAAAAATCTGTCAGGCTGTAGCTGAAAACAAGATAATAGCCTGTATTTTGTGAGGCCAGTAAAATATAATGATGCCGATCCCATTATTAACTCTGGCATGACACTAAACATCTTAGAGTGGTGCAGACATGAAGCAGTGGGAGTAGAGCAGACTCTTTGCTGTCTGAGTGCAATTTGAGCTGTTTCAGTTCATTTTTTCCATTCCTGTTTGTGGAAGGAGCTTGGGTTCATCTCAAGGACTGCTTATTAGTCCGCTTCCCCAGCCATGTGGAAAATAGCTAGCAGTGCTTTCCAAGGCCAGAAGATGCTGCTCTCTAGAGCAGCTCTCCGCTTTGAGGTTTGCCTGACGAGGGCTCCTTTTATCACTAGCAAAGTTTTCATCAAATTGTGTATCTATTGAATCTAATTGCATAAAGCTGCAGGCTTCCAGATTCCCATTTCAGATTTTTTTTTCTGTGTGAACCCTGTTCTCACCTCTTCAGTCTTGAGTAGATAGACAGGAGACCTCTAGGCACATCCCACTTGTTCTACACAATTCATCCCCCTGAAAAGGGTTTTGTTGGCAGTGGCTTCAGGACACCCTTACACACCTCTTTCCACAGCGGCAACTGGCCTGTTTCCCAGAGTGAGCTACTCTGGCTATGAGACAGAGGTGTGATTTGGATGGAGGAGGATTTGAGGATTTGTGAGGATGATTTCTTTGCAAAAGCTGCCTTTGTTCCAGGTTGAAAATTTGGTGTGTCATGTACTGGTCACCAGCATTATTCACAGGCCTGTGAGTGGGAAAGCCATGGCAGAGGATTTTCTTTTTGCATCTTAATTCTACAGACTCGTTGCAGGGAGTACCTTAATATCTACTTATATCCCCCTTGTTCTTCCTTCCACTAAAAGCACTGCACAGAGTACAGGACATCGCTTTGCTCCTGTGGTGTTTAGGCTTTAGTTTTAGGGTGTTCCAGTTCTTACAGATTGTGCCTGAATAAAGGAAAGGACTGGATACATTGCAGGATCCTGAGTGGATGAATACCTGCCTCACACACCACCAACAAACCAAGACTGTTTTACAGGAAGGTAAAAAGATGTGTTATTGGAGAGCTCACAGGACAGAGCTGTTCTGCGAACTGTCCCTCCTGGGCACCTCTGACAATTATTCAGGGGATTAGAGCGTGAAGCAACTTTCAGTGTGGAAACACAGATGCTCCCAGACCTGAAGCTCCCAGTTGCTGCTGGCCTTAGTGACTTTGCTCGCAGAGCTGTGCCCGTGTGACGTGGGCTTGGCTCGGCACCCTGGGTGCAGGTACTGCAGGACGCTGTTTCCTCCTTTCGAGTCGCTGCTGGCAATGTGAACATCTCCTCAGCAGTGGCCCTGCATTTCCCGCAGCTGAATGTAGGTAAGGATTTTTGCTCCTTACAGCAAGTGGCCTCTCTGTCATTGGCCAAGTGAGTATTGTGAAGGACAAAACCTGTGGACTGTTAAAACATTGTGATGTTTTTTTTGCCTGGGAAGGGAATTTGGAGGATAAGAACACTACCTCCACAGCATACTGCTCCATTTAGGGAGCTTGTGGGTTGCAGGCAGCCAGAACTAGAAATTGGCTTTTTCTTCAAGACACTGACAGCTGGGTTTTTGTGTTTGCTTGCGAGTTGCTTTACTGCTTCAATTCCCTCCTGCCCTCTTCCTTGGATGTCAAGGGCTATTGAATGATCATGGTTGAGGTAGAGGAAATGTTAATGCTTAAACCACTCCTGATGAATTTGTATTTGGTCCTGAAACTTTGGCAAGTATATTTATTGTGTTTTACAAGGAGGATGTCCAGAGCCACACTTGAAGAACTTACTGTGACTAAATAGGACTTTGGAGCAGTGGTGATGAGAGGGGTTCTTTGGTAATTCTGTCCTGTATTCTGAACCTTTCTTACTAATGCTCCTAATACTTTTGTCTGTCAGTCTTTGAACTGACTGTCTTCTGATTCTTGTGAGATATGCCTACTGCCCTGCACAGTAGGGATGGGAAAGTGCTATCTGGAGCTGTAATGTGTTTTGTACAGAAACTCATGGAAAATGAGGTAGAACTTGGAATTTAATTTTATAATAAATAGCTCTTCTTTCAAACACTCTCTTTTGAGTCTGGTTGGTTTTTTCCTCTCTTCTTTACACACACACACACACACACACACACACACACACACACACACGTGCGCGCGCACAAAATAACATGATCTTTAAATGGATGCTTTGGAGAGTTTGATTTTTGCCAGTGGTGATCTGCACAGCAGAAGCTATAACCAGCATCAGCTTTTAGTCTTCAGGTATTGCTGGACTGCAATTCCAGGAGTCCGTGTTTTACTGCAGCACGAGCTGTGGTGGTAAGCACAGTGGGAAATGAGGCTGATATGTTTGAATGAGAATGAAACGCTGTCTAATGAGGTGGGTTTATGTCTTTGCATTAAAGCTGTGTTAGACGCTGGTGATGTAGCACATGTCATGCTTAGTGGGGATCTTCATGATGCTTTTGGTACATTCTCTTTGAATTGACAGATTTAGCAGCAAATTCTTCTCTGATTTGTATTTTAAATGTGTTCTGTCTGTAATATTAGACTGATGCACTGTTTTGTAACTAAATACAAGATTCTGAGAATTAAAAAGTGACAATGCTATAAATGAGAATTTGGTTCCACCCCGGGCTGTAATAACAGGACAATATATACTAGGAGTACAGTATAGTAATGGGGTTGTAATATTGGGGTGATGCTTGAAGGAAAAAGTACAGTCTTTCTATCTGTGGCTATCCCAGTTATAAAATAGGTCCAGATCAATGTTGGCAGAGAGTGAATCGGTTTATTTTGACATTTCCTAAGAGCTGTTGGGATGAAACCAGCCAGGATAGCTGAAAACTGGTCTATGATCTGTGCAAGGTGATCGAAATAAGCTCTTCACCATTACTGAAAAGCCTGCTGATGTCTTACATTGCTTCAAAAGGTGGTGTTTGGATACTGTCTAGAAGGAAGGACTGCTGATACAGAAGCCATTCTAGAGTGTAGGGAAGAAGGCTGCAAGGCAAAGGCTCAAAACATGCTGACAACATCTGAAGTAAAGCTTTACTTCTCCGTGCTCTCTAAAAGAAGAATGGCTTCTTTTTCCAGGTGAGATCTAATGTGGGTGGGCACCGATGCTTGATT